TAAGAAAGTTCAACATTAAAAAGCATTCTGGCCCTAGTTGGTTTGGCTCAGTGGATAGAGTGTTGTCCTGAGGACTGAAGGGTCCCGGGTTTGATTTCAGTCAAGGGCACTGACAAGGTTGCAGGCTCCATCCCCAGTAGGGGGCGTAAAGGGGGCAGCCGATCAATGATTCTCATCATTGATGTTTCTGTCTCTCCCTCTCCTTTCCTCTCTGAAATCAATGAAAATATATTAAAAAGGGAAAAAAAGCATCTGTGTTTTTCACAACTGGCCTTTTCACAAGAATAAGATACTGGATACATTCCATAAGACAAATCCCAAAACACAAGTTGAAAATACCATTCTTTGATGACACCATTCATTAACAATTTTTAAAAGTCATCACTAATGGGCAGTCAATGCAAGTCATTTTTTTAAACAATACAAAATGCACTTTTAAGCCTCTACTTTCCACAAAATTGTCCAGGTTATTGGAAACTAATATTTAAATTCTGCTTTTAAATAATACATACAGATAATAAAATAAAATATACACCAAAGTAGGCAAAACATTAAACTACTGGAATACTAAAAAGATTAAGTGGGGTATCCCGCAATAGACTCTAACCTGTTTCATATTTACATTATACCCAAAAGCACCTTAGCAATATGTTCATCAAAAGCCTCTTAAAGGGCTGGGGGCACTGGATCCTGAAACAGGTCATAAAAGCTTCATGAGATGTGCCCTCCCTCAACCCAGAAGAAAGGAGCATCCTTACTGACAAAGACAAAGAGTCACCAAGAAGCCCACAAACAGGCCTTGCTAAGTTTCCCTCAGTTTACTACAATTACCTCATACTCTTTAACCTATCCTATTCCTCGTTAACTGTCCACTCTTCATCAAACATGGTATAAAACACTTATTTCTTCGTTTTCTTAAGAAGGATCCTCTATCACATTAAACTTAAATAAATTTGTATGTTTTCTCCGTTAATCTTTGTCAGTTTAATTTGCAGAACTGGCCAAAGACCCAAAAAGTGTCAAGAAAAAACCTTTCCTTCCCCTACATTGGCTAAAATAAACATAGTATATTGTCTGTGTCAAAAGAAAACTCTTGGAAAATTTCAATTAAAAGGCTAGGAGAGAATGTTAAGGAAATCTATCAAGAAGTAAAAGAAAAAACAAAGACATGGAAAATAGAAAAAATAATATTTGAGAATACAGTCTAGAAAGTTTAACATTTGAAAAATCAGAGTGGTAGAAAGAGAATAGAGGGAAAAAAAGAGATAAGAAAATAATCTAAAAAAAAAAGAAAAGAAAATAATCTAAGTAGTAATAAATTTCCCAGAACTGAAAGTCATGTGTCTGCAGATTGAAAAAAGGACCACAGTGACCTGAAGTGAAACAAAAGAAAACCACATATCAAGAATATTCAAGAAAATAAAGGATAAAGAGAAAATCCTAAAAGCTTCCAAAGAGAGAAAAAGATCACATTAAATGAAACAATGCCTTTAAAATTGTGAGTCAATTATTTTACAACCTAGAAATATATTTTCAGCCAAATTAGCAATTAAATGTGACATTAAGACAAAACAAAAGAAGAAAAAAAACCTCTTTTTTATAGAGCTACGTGAGACTATGCTTTTAAGATCAAGTCTCAATGAGATGATGGAGCTACTACAATGCACATCTGGGCCTGTTCAGGTGATATTTTAACAGCTGATTTGGCCCCAAAGATCAAGAAACTTACCCTAGCCCGTTTGGCTCAGTGGATCCTGCGGACTGAAGGGTCTTGGGTTTGATTCTGATCAAGGGCCTATACCTTGGTTGTAGGCTCGACCCTGGCACTGGTCAGGATGCATGCAGAAGGCAACCAATCGATGTGTCTCTCTCACATTGATGTTTGTCAATGTGAATAGAGGAAAGAGAATAGAGGAAAAAAGAAATAAGAAAATAATCTAAGTAGTAATAAATGTGTGTCTCTCCCTCTCAATTCCACTCCCTCTGAAAATCAATGGAAAAGTAACCTTGGGTGAGGGTTAACAACAACAAGAAAGAAACTTAATATGAGGTCCCAGTGCAGCCAAATCCTCATCCAAGAAAGACATCATGACTTTAGTCAACAATAGTAATAAAAGCCCCTACCTTGGATTAGGGGTATACAACTAGGGAAAGGAAAATTATTTCTACACTATTTCTGTTTTCCTTTTAGTGCCTTATACCTAATAAGCAGGGTTTCCTCCCACTTTTTTCTTTCTTTATTCATGTTGTAGAGGGGAGTGGGAACTACTCTAAACTGCCTATAATTTACTTACGTAGGCACAAAGCACTCTATGGCTACCTTTTCAAAATACCTGTTATACTGGCTTAATGTCTATATTCTCCAGTAACTGTATGATCCACAAGGGTACATACAGTGATGTTTACTACTATATCCTAGAACAGTGCATGGTATTTATCAAGAAAATTTGTAGGATATGTAAATACACAAAAATATTAATATTGGCTATATTAGCTGATGGTGTTATGTATGTTTTTACATGTCTCAAATTTCCATACTTAATTAAGTTAAATAATGTTTATAATAAAAATTAATAAAGGAAAGCATACAGGTAGTTAAATGTTTGCCAAAAAAAAAATTAAATCCAGCATTCTTGCCGTAACCGGCTTGGCTCAGAGCGTCAGCCTGAGGACTGAGAGGTCCCAGG